CCCCCCCCCCCCTCCAGACACACACTGTATACAATACACATATATTTAAAAATCGTCTCAAGACTCATCTCTTTAGTTTATTTTAATTTGCAAATTTCTAGCGTATAGAGACCTATGTATTTTGCGCTTTACAAATCCAAATTATTATTAATATTATATAAACACATCTAATGATTAACTAAGATAAAATTTATAACGTACCAAATTGTTCTGTTAATGCGTCAATATGTATCGCAACGTAGCAAAACATTAAAGAATAAAAGCGTATATTATATAAACTTGAAACCAAAAAAGGAAAAAAAATAAATAAATTACGACATTACAAGAATATTTCGTTATAAGAATATATTAATAACGTTACAGTTTGGTGCTAAAAACGTTATTTTGTAGAACCATATGTACGTACTTATATAAACTAATTTCACAACGTTTGCACGTTCTTACAACGTTGTGCGAACGTTACTTTGTTGCATCTCGTTTTAAGAACGTTTTGTGTTTGCTGAGTTGTTGGTTACAAAGTTATATATCTACGAAAAAATAATATAAAACATAAACATCTAGGCCTAAATTAATTATCATTTAAACCTCTGTTCGGCAACCCATCAGATCGTATCTGGGTCCAAAAAAATTATACTGAAAGTTTTAAGTTTTTACTTAAATCAGATTCTCGTGTAATCAGATTCTCGTGTAAACATCGAACAAAACGTGTTTTTGTTTTTTTGGTTTTTTTTTGTTTTTTTTTTATTGCATCCTGTTAGTGGCGAGTGTAGGCCTACTTGCTGCTGGATGTGAAGGAAATAAAACAAAAATCCTGAAAAAAAATACATATTACGAACGAGGACAAATGGAATTAAATTACAGTAAACAAAAGTGCAATTAAAGTGTGGCATGTGCGTTTACTTTTGTAATGTGTGCGTTATCACAGTTTCATGTTAAAAAGTATAATATCAAAACATTTGTACTTCAAGTATGGCAACTTGAAAGTATTAGTTTTGTTCATTTCATTGTGTTTGGCTTTCAGCTGAAAATTATAACGACAAAATATTTTCTCTTCAGTTTAATGTATCTATGTCTTCGCATAACCCATATTTCTGGCAGCAAATCTATGAATTGGTGTTGGCCTATAGTAAATTGTCCTTAAATCATTCATTTTAAAAAATCTTATTGAAACATTTGATAACTTATGTGGCCTTGTTCAATGAGTAATTCAAAGTTATATCTTCATTTTTAGGGGTTTTTAATTGATTTTATGGGTGATATTTGAGTATCTTTTATTCGATTCCCGAAAGAATCAGGTGGGTTCTTCTGATACTCCCCATGGTTAGGGGTAAAATGTTCAAATGTTTCTATGATTAATTTTAAATAATTATTTTAAATAAAAATGAAGCTGTTTCTGTATTAGTTTCAACATTGAAAAATGTCTGTACTTTGGAAGAAACGGCTTTTTGTCCTTAAGGTTTTCAAAATTCCTATATACTTTTAATTTTTAATTTTAATTTTCAACCCCTAGTATTAATGGGAACACTGATTTTTTTTCCCATTGTATCACAAATAAATGATGTTGACACATTTTGAGAAATAAATTTCATATCAAACCAGAATTGTCCCTGAATTCGGAATTAAAAAATAATGTTCTGCCTTATAAAATGAACATGACGAAAACAATCTAAGTCCCCTTATTTTTTTTCCGATGTATTTTCCCTCTTTGTTCTATATATTGATGTAAGCTTTCGTGGTCTGAGCTTTCGGGACACCCTTATGCGAAGACAGATATTGAAGAGAAGAATGCTTTCTCGTTATATTAAAAAAAAAAAAATACTTTCAAGTTGTCATACCTAAAGTGCAAATGTTTTGATAGTATAATTAACATGAAACTATGATAACACATTTACGAAAGTACACTGCTCTCGTTTACTGTAATTTGATTTCGTTTGTCCTTTGTCACGATCTCCAGAAATTATGCGACTCCAGCTCAAAATGTTTCCGCGACCCACGACAGACAGGTTACGGAACGGTGCCTAGATCATACAATGCCTTCCTCCGATTGGTTGACAGGATTTTCCTCTGTAGTATGGGGTGCCATACGCAGCAAAAGTATAAACTTAACCCCACAAAAGCCTAGGCCCTAGGCCTATATGGGGTGCCATACGCAGCAAAAGTCAATGTTAAAATCAAAATGTAAATGCAAAATTCAATGTATAATTTATCAAAACGTAGGCGTAAATTTCTCAAAATGTAGATGTAGTTTCCAAAAATGAAGTTCTAATTTTTCAAAACGTAGTTCAAATTTTTCAAAATGTAGTTCTAATTTCTTTAAAATGTAATTCAAATTCAAAACGTAGGTCTGACTTGATCAAACGCCCTCTCCAAATTCTATTCCAAAACGTAAATCAAAAACCAGCCTGG